TGTCGGCGCTGAAAGGAGCTTCCCGTCGTTTTCATAGGTGCTATCGAACGACGAGATTTTGAGGGAAGAAAGACGAAGAATTTCTACAAATTGGATGGCGGGATTGTGCAGCGTCCGCTTTCGCCAAATTCCCGCGTGCAATAAGTATGCCACGTGCTTCAAACGCGCGTTCTATCTGTTTTCTTCTGCTATCAGTCTATCTGCGACTGTGTTTCGCAAACATTCCCCATCCTCAAATATAATTTCTTCGCGAAGGATTTTATAGAATTTTAGAAACTCCATTTTGCACTGCAAGGCTACTTTAATTTCGAAAATGAAAGTGGAAAACCATAAATTAAATTTTATTTTACCAGTCTAATTAATGGAGAGCACTATTCAAAGACAAACAATTTTTTCTATTTAAATTATAATTTAACTTACATGTTAATTAAAAGTTTTAATTATAATCTTGATAATTTACGTTTTTCTCACTATACGCACTCTAATAGGTTTTACGTTTTATTTATCTTGGTCATTCATCTTTTTATTATATTTGAAAATATTAGATTTAATGCACTCGCGTTTTTATGTGCTAGAGCAAAGTTAACGGATGAGGCAGTGACAGGCATGATTTTGCAGTGGCGTCGTAGAACGGAACTTCCTCTCGGATTAGTATCTGTAAATGGATTCGGCCTTGTCAGCCTCCTGTGAGACATAATGCCGCAAAAAGTCACGGCATAAAATATTCCCAGAACCGTAGACTACACGAAGGACACGCGGACAAAGGATACGTGACATTATTTGTCGAGGTAACAATGCGTGAGTCTACTTTTTTTCCACATACAGCACTACCATCTTTGAATTGGCTCACCGGATAATGTACTACAAAATCTTCCCCTCCGCACACGATTAAAGGGAAATATTCTTGGACTTTTTAAATCCGCATATATCAGTAATATTTGAAAATAGCTGGAATAGATTCTCCCTAAAATTTTCACGAACCAATTTTATTAGTTTCTACAAAGGTTACCAGCTTAGGTTATTATCTGAAAACTGACAAAGCACAGCTGGCTCGACATCGTGAATACTTTATCGCCCAAAATTCGCAACTCATTGAACAATGGCGGGTAAATGTAACGGATTAATAATCGTATAGCACACTATAATCTGGCAATGAAAGAGATGTTCGAGAGAACTGAGGAATCTGCCAGTTAACTGAAGATACGACGAAGAAGGAAGACCGAGGCCCGAATTAAGCTGCCAAGAACAATCTTGTAGTCGTGCAAACGTGAAGTAATGTGGCGAAACTGGCAAATTTCGTCGGACGCGAGAAACTTCATTTCATCAGGCAGAAACACAGGGGTTGCCTGAATTACGCGGTGTTTATAATCCGTAACACGGAGCCTGGCGCAATGAGAGATATCGTGCGGGCGTACCGCGGATACGCGCGCAAACACATGCCAGGCACGTGGTATTCTACGGTAAGCATGACGATTTCTAGGAAACGTTCCTTCTGCTTGATCTACCGAGATGAAGCGACTTTGTGCTGGTTCCTAAGGTCCGCTTAGGCGGCTTTTAAGGTTCCCGGAAAGCAGATTTTCTTTTTATATTATAATACAACCACGTTTCCTCCCATCACGAATATTCGCTCAATTTAGATATCAACCACGTTTAGATATGATCACGTTAATAAAGGAGAAAGGAGGGTTTTTTTTATAACAGATACTACACTTCAGGTAGTGACACATGACGGTTTAGGTTTAGATAAATGGATTCTAAAAAAGGATGGAACGGGAAGCCCTTATTCACCGCGTTGCCTGCCAAAATTTAACGATCTAATGTAGATAAGATGTAGATAAAGAAAAAAAAAGGATAGAGGGTGAATAGGGGAGAAGGTAAGATTGACGGCGTGTCGTTTCAAAGTCATAATGCGAGGATCGTGCATAACTCTAGGAAAATGAACCAGGAAATAGAAATTGCAGAAGAGAGAACGTTCAACTTGCTAATAAAATTGAAGCCGGAGCGGAATCACCCGACTTACCGACGTGCCAAACGAAGAAACGGAAGTGGTAAAAGAAGGAACGAGTGCTCCTACGCGAGAAGGTAGAAAAACGATAGAGGTAAAAGCAGACAGAGAAATTCTTCGGAGAAATTCCACTGTGCGGTTGCTCTTTCTTGGCTCGCGAGACTCGTGTGACGTTTACGCGCGTGTGTGGGCACATGACATATGTCGCATGGAAAACATATGCGTTTACTTTACCATTGAAACGAAACGGCGTCTTCGTAAAACTCGCTCATCAGTATTTAATATGGTAATCGCAAAAATTAAAAATTATAAAATATAGAATATATCTCGATATAGTCGAATATATTCATAATTTGTGAATATGATGTTTTATAGCCATTTGAAGTTTGAAACTAGCAAACTCCGAGAAGAAACGTCGAATGTACTTAAAATGCAATATCCTGAATGTTTAATAACTACATAGTCAAATCTGAAATTTGGCGCCATATGATTCAGTATGACTAGACATTGTACAATATAACCGGAATTAATATGATTAGACACTGTGATATATAGAATCAATTATATAATTAATATAAATAATATTAAAAACATTCTAAAATATATATGTACCTAAGACTCTCGCATATGTTTCTGTTTCGTTCATGTTACATTCTGAGATATAACTCACTTTTAACAAGTTGCTATTTGCAATTTCTCTATGACTAAAGTAATGACAAAGCACAGAGTAATTTAAATAGAGAATAAACTCCGTTACCATAATTTTCAGAGGTGATTTCGGATTATCGGACTACCAGAAATGTCCATTAATATTTGTTTCGTATGCGCTGAGGATCGCCTCAGGCCGAAACGAATACCCGGAACCGCCTCGAAAGAAGCGCGAAATGATAGTCGAGACGAGCTCGGAAGCGCGACGACTTATTGTCCGTATGTGTCCCGTGGCAAGAAAAATATCTGCGTTCGATATAATGCTCTCAAATTCACTTTTCTCAAAAGACACACCGATCGTCGATCGAGCCAAAGGAGGAATTTGAACGGATAAGATTTAACTGGGATATGACCCTAAGAATGTGGATCGAAGGAGAACTGGGATGAACCGCGTGATGGACCCAGAGGTCAATTACAGGATGTAAAAGTTCACTCAGAAATTAACATCGGCTCTCAGAGATTAGTCGTTGAGCTTTGACGAGCTTTTCATCCTAGCGAACCTACTTTTAATTTATTAAATAAAAAGGAAAGAAACATTAGTAACAAAATATAAATGGAAATAAGAACAAGGATTAATAATTTGAATTGACTCAATTGAAGGCGGACAGTTAATAGACCGAGAAGACAGACGAGCACTATTCGCGTGATCTCTGTAACTCGCGAACGAAGAACCCGAGATATGCGCAAGATATAGCACTGGTTTGGTAGTTCAACGCGGAACGAATGCTAAAATCGCGGTAAAGGCCCGTCTACATAGGACGCAATACGCAAAACGCAGGACGC